TTATAAAAATCAGTAAAATTAAATATTATGGTAAACTGACAAGAAATCCATCCTGATTTTACTGAGGAATTACAAAAGGAGTGAAAAAATAGAGGATTTAGTTTTAAACAAGTTAAAGATTGAGTAAATGCTGGATTACAAGTTTGCGATGCTGATTATGCTTTATGATTGATAAAAACTAAAAAAATTGATGAGTTTGAAATAGTGAAATGAATATTGAGACATGGAAATGACAGAGAATTAAAGGAGAAATATGGAAGAAAAGTTAATGCTCAAAAATGATTGGATAAGAAGTATCCGAAAGAAAAAAGAAGTGAAGTATATTCAATCCGCCTCACTGAACCCATAGAAGAAGAATTAGATTTAGGGGATTTTACTTATCTTCGAAGGTTAAGTGGGATAGTCAGGTTCATTTATTATGGTGTAAAAGATGAAACTAAACTAACTTTTAAAAATAAACCAGAAAAGGCTGAGATTATTAAACTAGTTCAGGCTCAGAAATATATTAATCAGCAATATCCTAGTAAGGAAGAAAGAGAAAAAGAAACAAGATTGTATATTAGAGAAAAAAACCTCCAAGGCTACCTTGACCTCTCTGAGTTTATTAATTTAAAAGTATTAGGTTGCTCTGGTAATCAACTCACCTCCCTCAATCTAACCAATTGTTCCCAGTTAGAGGAAATTAATTGTTCTAATAATCAACTAACCAATATCATTTTACCTCCTAATCCCACTAATTTAAAAGAATTAAGATTATATAATAATAACTTCATCTCCAATTTATCTTTTTTAACTCCTGCTATTAATTTAGAATATCTTAATTTAGCCGATAATAAATTCATTGGTTCCTTAGATTATTTAAGTGAGATGAGGCAATTAAAAAGTCTTAATATTAGTGATACTGATATAAATGAAGTAAATATCGAGCAATTACCCAGGAGTTTAGAGTATATTTGATATTCCACTAAAAAAAGACCCAACTGTCAATTAATTACTATTGCTCCCATATTGGAAAATTATCTTAAATATAACTATTGTGAACAATGACGAGTTAATTTGAAACTGATAGTTAAAGAAAAAGAGTTTGTTCAACAACAACCACAGATGGAATTACTAATTCCTCATGAACAATTCACCAATATCCAATATCTAGCCGAAGGTGGATTTGGCAAAATATATCGAACTAATTGAAAAAAAAAGGAAGTTGTTTTAAAAGTTTTAAACAATTCTCAAAACATTACTACTGATTTTTTACAAGAAATTGCTTGTCATGAATTATTCGCCAATAATGATAGATTTGTAGTTAAATGTTTTGGTGTATCGTGAGACCCCACAACTAAAAAATACTTGATGGTCATGGATTATGTTCCCAATGGTGATTTAAGACAATACTGGAAAAATAATTGTTTACCATTAAAAAGTAAATTAAGTCAGTTATTAACTATTGCCGAGGGATTAAAAAGCATTCACGAAAAAGAGTTAGTCCACCGAGATTTGCATCCTGGCAATATTTTAAATAGAGAACTTTCTGGCATTGGTAGTGGTAATGTTTTGTGCTACATTACTGATTTAGGATTAAGTAGATTGGTTAATGAAATAGAACAGGAAGGAAAAATCTATGGACAAATGACTTATATTTCCCCCGAAGTATTGTTAGAGCAGCCTTATACCAAAGCAAGTGATATCTATTCTTTCGGCATAATTGCCTACGAACTCTTGGCTAATTCCTATCCTTATCCTGAAACAAATGATTTAGAATTATCTTTAAAGGTTTGTCAAGGATACAGACCTGATATAGATAAAGTTCTCATACCCCAATTACTCAAAGATTTAATTAAAAGTTGTTGAGATGCTGACCCAGAAAAAAGACCAAGTGCTGAGGAGTTATGGAGGGTTATTTATGGTTGAGAAAAGGAAATCAAAGACAGAAAAAATGCTAAATTCCACCAACAATACCAAACCATAGAAAAAGAATACAACACTTTCTCCCAAAAACCTTACCAAATCCATCCTAATGCTACTCTAACTAGCAAAATGATAGATACTAAGGAAATCACTACTAGATTACAAAGTCTAAAAATAGGTTCTAAACAAATAGATTTTGATATTCCTGAGGAGGATGAACAACAACCCCAAATAGAAATCCCTCCCAAAAATAACTAAAAGTCAACCTCTTCCCTATTACAAACAAGAACTAAAACCCAACCTTAAAACTTCCCTTTTATAACTTTCTAATTTTCTTTCTACCGCTAGTTAGCAAGAAAATAATTCCTCCCACTAGGGCTATTCCTCCGATAATACTTCCTCCAACTATCCAAGGGGTATAATTAGTTCCTTTATTTTCCTTTTGGTTAGAGGGATTACTAGCATAATCAATTTCTAATTCCAAAGCCGAAAGGGAATTTTTATTAACCTTTCTCATCCTATCCCGAATAATTTTTAATTGATTAGTAGCAACCTCAACAGTCTTTTTAGTCCCATTGCTGTATTCAATTATCAATTTTTCATCCTCAATGATTATTCGTTTAATGCTATTTTCTAAAAAGTATTTGATAATTATTTCCAGTTCTTCAATGTCTTTTAATTCCTGCTTTTTATTAGTTAATTGGGTTTCTTGGGACGGAGTTTTATCAGAAGTAGCCTCCAAGTTGGCTATAACAACTTTCAATTCCTTCTTTCTGTTTTCGGCTGCTTTTAGTGGGCTTTGATTGGAGGCAGTAGGGAATGGATTACTTGGAAGAACTCCGTTGCTATTTGGGGCATTGCTACTACCACCACCACCACTGCTTCCCCCAGAAACTAATTTCTTTAATTCTGCTAAGTATTTTTTTCCTTCATCGGTAAGTTCTTGTCCGTTTTTTTTGACTTTGATAATTTGTTCCTCTAATTCTTCTAGTCGGCAACTAGGGCAAGCATTATTCGTAAAAAAGGAGAAGTTGTTAGCAATTAAAAGCCAGTAATTATCAGCGGTTATTTTTCAGTCTTTACCACAAGCCTTACCTCCTTGGTTGTTTTTACACTTTATTAAACATTCATGGTTAATAGTTGGCTTTCCGAATAACTCCTCACTTTCTCCGTGGCTTATCACAAATCTTTTTTTCCAGTTGGGTTTAGCCCTGTCATAGACTTCTTGGCTGGTAGTTCTTTTGTGGCAATATCCACAATACTCGTAATAGGTGCTATACGAATGATGTAATGTTTCAGTTCCCCCGCAACCCTTACACTTGGTATAACTGCTACTTCAACTGCTAGGGGTAAAAGATTGACCCTGCCATTTTTTATGTATACCTTCATTACACTTATCCACTCCATGGCAAAGCGGGCAAGGTGTTTTAACCTCATAATCTACCCCATGGATATCTAATCATCTATCGCATTTTTCACAGTAGCGTTCATATTGTCAAGTTGAGGGGTCATCTTGGGATGGAAGTGGAGATGAGGAATTATTATCTCTTTTCTGCTTACACTCCGAACAAACTTTTATCCTTTTTCCATCTTTTTCGGTAATTGTTAGACCTTGTTGTCATTCATCCCATCTAGCAATATCATCACATTTTTTATGACACTGGTCGCACTCGGTATATTCAAAGGCACAATTCTTACAAAGTAGACTGGTTTTTTTCTTTTTCTTGGAATTCCTTAATGGTTTTTTCTAGTTGGTTTTCTTTTTGGGTGAGTTGGAGTTTAAGAGCA